GTGGGTGGGTGGGTGGAGAGATGGAGCAGGACATCCAAACATTTGTGTGTTTTCCCTGTGGCGTGGAGTGTGTGAGTGTTTTTCATGTGGAATCCTGTGGCTTTACAAGGCTAACGTCCTGCCAAGCATTCTCTTGATCTCATTGTAAACACACAGCCCTCGTCTAATGCACACATGTAAATGCACTCCGTCCTGCATTTTGGGGATGCAAAGACCCTCCTCGGTCATATTGGATTCATACGGACCTTCTATATATAGGCACTACATATTTTCTAGCCTGTTTCTGTTTAATTACACTTTGTCTCCTAAAACTCTAATTACCTTAATAGGGATTATTCCTGCTTTTTTGCGCTAATAGGGGCATTCACAATGCACTCCTTATGCTTCACTTCCCCACTTCTGTCTCTCTGTCGCGCCTTTATCATCTGTGTAGTTCTCTGTCGTCCCCCCGGAGCGCTCGCTGTCTCCTGCTTCTTCTTTGTTTTTCTTTTCTCTCTGCGCTTTTTCCCTCCTCCTTCACAGATGCAATCATCAGTTCAATTGCGAGGGGTTGAGTGTAGTCGTCACGCGCTGCAGAAACGCGGCACAGAGACACGCACTCGCTGAGACGACACGTGCACGTGCATCTCTGTGCATGCAGCTGATGTGGCAACACGTGCATGCACATATCCATCTAGAGGAACGTTTTCTCTCATGTGGAGCAACTGCACATTATTCTTCTCAAACCCAGTGGCACATCTTTGCAAGGAGCTTAATTAGATTTGTTAAACTTTATACAAGATTAGATTCAAAACGAAACAGCATCTTGAATTTAAGAAGATTAGCTCTTGTTGTTTAATATTGCCAGAAGCAGTGGATTCATTAAGTTGAGATGAGCTATTTTGTCAGTGAGCACTGGCGATGTACTGTATGTGAGTATGTGCTGTAATGAGTTCCGCTGGGATAAAAATCAGGATTCTTGTTGCTCACTGCAGTTCACAATTTTGGGGGAAATACCATTCTATTTTTACTTCTGTTCACTTGTAAAGCTATAGATGAGCGCCATTGTTGCTATAGATAAGCAACAATGGCACTTGAACACGTGACAGTAAAATTCCCAGTAAAATGTTTACTGCTTTTGCTTCTGAATGCAGCTGGAGTCTCTGTGTCTCCTTCAGGTGACCGTCTATTTAACTTCTCTGCTTTTCTGCTTCTCTAGCTAAAAGTGACGCTGTTTGTGGGAGATGTAAATGTAGCCAACGTAACGACGAGGATAGAATTATTAGCCAGCCTGTGAACATTTTTAAGTATTTCCAAAGTGCTGGTAAAAAGAGCAACAGACTTTTTTACACAGCTTTTCCAAACATCCTATTTTCATTTTACTTTGCACATAGAAACAAACAAAACCAAGAACTGCCAGGCTTCAAATTCAAATATTAGCCACACTGATGCTAATATTGAACAAGTCTGACACGTCTCCTGAGCAATTCCAGTCCATTCTGCTTTCGCAAGTCTTTTAACATCTTCCTGGTTAAATAGTCTTCTGACCTGAGCTTTGGTCTTCAGTTCACTCCACAGATTTTTGAGTCAGCCAAGTCGGGGCTTCAATATCCTTCACTTTCATCCGGACGTAGTTTTTCACCAAGATCAACATATGTTTTATTACTTGTACCACCGTGTTTCACTGTGGACACAGTTTTCTTTGGGTTGTTTGCCTCTCCCGGCTTTCTCGCGCACTTCATGCGTAATCTTACTCCAGGTTGTCCTTACCATACTTCAGTCTGGTTTAAAGGTGTCTCTTCTGCAGAAGTGGAACTTTTCTTGCTTTGCTAGACACATCTCTCACTAGTTCTTTTCAGAGTATTTGAAATTTTTCGTATTCTGTACTGTCTTTGAATTTCTTGATGGTACTTCTCACTCCAGTTCTTGACACTTGAAACACTGTGATAGCTTTGTATATCCATCTCCTGCTTTGTGAACATCAACGATTCTTTATCTCAAGCATCTGATTTCCTTTGTTTTTGGCAGGATAGCTCAAATCCTTGTTGAACATTTTATACTGAGAGTAAAGTTGAAGAACCCTTAGTTGTAAATTGATTTCATAACAATTCATTACAGTTACTTATAATTCCTTTCTACGTAAAAAAAAAAAAAAAGCACTTGGAATTTTTAATACGCAAAAGCTAGTCTATCAACATTCTCCTCTTCAGGCAGAATATGTGACAGGTTACCAGCTCCCCTACTTTTAGATTGGGAGGTGGACTGAACCTAAAGATGTATATTTTGCTAGGTGGCTCAGAGTTGGAAAGATATGTTTCTTCTACCATTTGAGAGGATTTGTATGAATTTCTACATTAACGAACTGTAAGTAGCTTGAAAGTTAATTTCCCATTGCCTCTCTTTGTGTCAGTTGAGGTTACCGTTCTCTCCTTTGTTGAAGCTTAGTTCTTAGTTGTTGGTTCTTGGCCTTGGGTAGATGGGCCCAGATGAGTGAGCGTTGTTTCTGTATTTCAATGATTTTTTTTTTCCACTGGAAAGTATTTGAATCTAAACCAGAAATGACATCATGTCCAACAAGTCGCTAGCTGACTGAGCAGCATACATTGCAGTAATTTAAAGTAAAGGTTTCAAAAACTGTCAATGTGCCGTTATGGGTGCATGTCTGATGCAGGGGCGTTAACACCTTTCTTATATCACCACTCTGAAGACCGATGAGCGTTGTCTACAGGTTTACTGACATTCAAAAGGGTAAAACTAAAAACAAGACAAAAAATACAGTCATCACATACATATGTGCAGCATAATATGCATTTATATACCACCCTGCTACTACATAGCATATGTCTAATTGTCTAATTAATGTCTAATTATGCGAAGTTGTACTATCGATGCTATCCCAGACGACCTCCAAAATCGCGGGTAACTAGTAGGGGTGCAACGATACTCGTATCGATATTGAACCGTTCGATACAGTGCTTTCGGTTCGGTACGCATACGTATCGAACAATACAAAATTTTTTATTTATTTTATCAACTTTTCTTCTGACGATGCTGTCTGTGTTGAGAGC